CAGCGTTTCAAAGCAGACACTCAGTAGGATTTGGGGCTGGAAAACCCTCCTTATCAGAGGCTGCACAAAACCCCTAAAAAAAGCCTAACACAAATACTACATTTGAAATGCCACATTTAAAAAAACCCAAAAAACAAAATATATACCACCAAACAATTCAGATGCTCCTGTGAGGGAAGGCGCATATATATCTTTTTCTTTAAAAAGCTCTGTTGAAGATATTTCTTTAAGAACCGTATATGCTATGCAAACAGAATTATTTATAGGATTTCTATATTTGACTAGAATTCAGTGCAACAGTAATTACTTATTCCTTCCCCTTTCCCTTTACCCTGAGGATTAGTTAGAAATGAGAGTACATACCTGGCTACAGCTTCACTGTACACAAAACCAGCATCTGCTCTCTTTACAATTTCAAAACACAGATCTGCTCCATCCATACTGTAGATAAAGAGAGATGAAAAATGTGCTAGTAAGAAATAGATAACTAATGCATATATTAGTGACTATTGACTATATTTAAGTCAATAAAGTACAGTAAAACAGTTTGGAGGTATATTCATTCAATTCATATAAGGTTTATATCAAGAACACTTTAGGTGACTTTACAATTCATAATTAAAAAACATATTTAACATACATAGCCAAGCTGACATATCAACCACATATTTTCCAACCTCTCTTCCCCCTACCAACTCCATCAAAATTCCAGGTAGCAGATATGTTTTATAACATACGCCAAACGTGAACAGAATCAGAGGGAGGAGAGGGGACAGGGAATTAATTCTGAGCCAACATCCCCTTAGCAAAAGCAGTGTGCCACCACATCCCTGACACCAGAAGGACTCATCTCTTCAGACATTTCAGTTGAAATAATCTGTCCTTAGATGTCTCTTCAATACACAGACCCCTAAGTATAAAAGGACTTCACAGGTTAAAAGACTTCTGGTTCTTGGCTTGAGAGAGCGAGACTGTCTATGCCTCCAGGTATAACAAGGTGTGAATGTGCTGAGAATGACTCAAAACATAGCAAAAACCTCCAACTTTAACTGTGGAAGAAGCAATGTTTAAGTAGGAGTTACTTTGCTACACTGGATAATTCTCATCTCTTTCACACACAACAAGGAGATAACAGCTGCTGCCCTTTTAAACCATTCCCTTTGTGAACTGATTCCAAAGGTACATGGATACAGACAAGTGCAGCTCCCAGCAGTAAGTCAGAATGTTTTCTGCAAAGTGGCCTGAGTTACAATGTTACTCAAGACCAAACAGAAGTCCATGGCTGGTTCCAAGGTGAAGGGTAATCCAGCTGCAGGATGGTCCCATAGTAATGGCCAGGGCACTATCTAGCAGTGCTCTCTATTTTTAGAATGGAAGGGGGGGAAGGTAGTGGAGGGAGCTTGTTTTGGGGGTTCCCCAACCAGTGCTGAAGGGTGGGGTGGTTGATACACTTGCCCCACCTCCTGGGGGGGAGAGGCGGGGGCTGAAACCTCCCCCAGACTGAACTCCTGCCAGTCCCTTTCCCCCTGCCCATTCTGAAAATAGTGACAGGCTGGAAAGCAGTGCAAACACAAGTTACAGTAGAGGCTACGTTTTGAAATATCTTTATCCAATACCTCAATGCAGTGAGGGGTCAGATTTTCACCTGACAGGCCATTTTTGAAGTTGTCTGCAGCCATGCATTTGTGCTATAGACTGCTTTCTGTGGTCAGATTGGATGAAAACTGTCACTTCTGGCTGCACCCCATGTGTCCATACCATTACCATATATGTTCTCTCAGAGAGTTAAAAACAGAGTAATGCAGAAGTTGCTGTGACGGTGTCTGGGAGCTGTGGCTATATGCAAATTGAACTCATTCAAGCAGTTTTGGTGATTTTCACCCATGTGGTCAGAAAATAAATCAAGTAGATATGTTAGTACCCTCCCAAGCCAAGGAAACTTGAACTTTATAAGGAAAAAAAAAAGTCTCTCTTGGCTACACTTACCATTTAAGTACCCAGTAACAGCCCTAAATTTAACAGGCCCTATAAACTGTGAGCTTGTATTACAAACAAATGGTTACATATAAATCTCAGTAATGCTTCTAGTTATTTTATTAGTGTTGTCACAGCTGAATTTCAGACAACTAACCCCAAATCCTATGTAGATGGAGTGTCATTCACAGCACAATCACAGGAGTGTCATTCAAGACAATGGGATCAGATGCAACACAGACTATGTAAATCTGACCAGTCAGCCTACTGAAGACACGTCTAACAGCGTCTCCTAACTAATCCTCCAAATAGCTCAACTGAACCAGGCACATGACAAAACAGAACCCTGGGAGGTCCTTGCCACGACAGAATCTTCAAAGTAGGTTAGTAATTACTAACTACTCGCTGAGGCCTAAGGAATGATATTGTGATACTCAAAAGCTTGCTTATGACACGTACAGACTTTTGGTTTCTACTGGGAGAGTTGTTCTCCCAGTAGAAACCATGAGTGTACCATGGGTTCAGAAACCACGAGTGCAGGATTTTTCTGCACTCAGAGCGAAAATGGCTGCTCCAGGAGAAAAATAAGCCAGGCACAACCAGATTTAAAGCACTCCTGGAAGAGCAAATGTTTGTATGCATTCCTTTCTCTGAGAACCCACAGAAGTCTTCTAGCATCCCTGTGTGCTTTATAGTGCCCTACCCCCCCCTGAGACATGGTGTGTTTTTTGGGCTGGACTTTTCACAATCCCCACATTGTGCAGCTGCAGGGAGACATGGGCGGACTCTGAGCACTCTGGGTACTATTGCCTTCTGCCTCCAGACAGACTGAGGAAGCCTACAGAACACACTGAGATGTATGCACAGGGTCTGCCTGTCTCTGCAGCATCAGTATTGCAAGCTTTCTGCTCTTCAGGGGCTTAGCATTTGGATGTCTACTGAGGGGTCTTCAGGTAAGTTTTTCTCCCAGGAAAACAAACCCAGGAGAATTCTCTCAGATGATTTGAATGTGGGTATGCAGCCTATGTCTATACCAATCATACAGTTAGTCCAATAAAAGACATTACCCATGGGAATTCTTGCTTCTCGCGTATCTCTTGGACTATCACAGCAACATCATCACCTCAACATTAACTATTCTCTGGGAACTTTACTAGAGGAGTGCTATCAGTCAAGAGACCCACAAGGAATTACAAATGTATCAGTGATCCATGTAAAAAAACAATGGCATCAGCGGCAGTTAACAGAGCTACAAGAACCAGCAAGCAACCTCTCCCTATGCCTGAAAACGGGTGTTTATGTCTGAAAGCTTGTGAAGAGCAATTTTTCCAACTATTTAGTTCATCTAATAAAAAATATCACATCTACCCGAAGAACCTTTTTTGCCTATGTCCTTGGATCAACATGGCTACAACCAACAACCCTAAAGAATCAGCAAGGGCACTTTTTATTCACACTAACATGAGATCATAAACCAGAGAATACCATTACCAGTTTCCAACCCATGCCCATCCTTAAATCTTTGTTAATGATGTCAAGGAAATCAGAAGATTACCTATCATCTCAGCGCTGTCCACAACTTTTCCCAAAATGGAAAACTGGACACAGTACAACTGTAAATATGGCAGCATCAAAAACTGTTTCTTGAGTAGAGGCTTTACAGTAAGATGTACATTTAAAACAACACTATATCCTCACAAGCACAGATACGCTTTTACCTTTGGAGCGCATTACTCAGAAAATAAATGTTCTCCGTTTAATACACTAATCACCAATTAGTTACAATTTGTAAAACTAAGGGGGGAAAAGTCACTGATTCTTCGGGTGGGGGAGTATATTTAAAATTGTTTCATTTCAAACTTAATTCAGAAAATACTTTACCTAGACTAAAATTCCACTAAGACTTATATGCAATCTTTATAATTATACAAAAGAAATCTGGTAAGAAACAGGGGCGCCTGTACACGAGTGTGGAAGCTGCTCCAACACGCTAGAACTTCAGAGCATCAGAGCAGACTCAATTGAGTCTGCAGGAGTGTGGCAACTGCCATGCTCTAGAAGCCTCCTGCATCTCATGCTTCAGCGTCCTTGTGCTTAAAAATGGCAGTGGGGGCACATGAACTAAAGGACGTTAGAAGGGCTTTAGTTCAAGCACCCCCGCAGCCATTTTTAAGCATGGAGATGCTGATTGATACAGGAGATGCAGCAGCACCCTAATTAAAGTGCTGCCCTTCCCGCGGAGCATGTGTAAAAGTGCCCTAGACAGATACTGGTGATGTAGGCAGCAAAGAACTGAGAGAGGCACCACTCCAACAGATACTCTCAGGAATCACATACTTGATGTAGTTAGGAAGGCACTCTTGTAGCTCTCTGAACAGAGACAGATAGTTAAAACAATCCTAGCGCAAGGTTCCAGAAAATGCAATTCCCAAAAGAGGAAATATATAGCTGTTTTCAATGAAGAAACTCATTTTTAATGCTGGAAGTATTACTGCCTAGCTAAGTCCCACCAGTTAACTGCATTTTATTTATTTTTGTTCCCACAGAGTAAAAGCTCATATTTATTAGCATGATAACTTTTCTAAACTTCCTGATGTTTCTTCTCCAAGTTCAGTTCTCTCTACAGGCTCGCTCTCCCAGAACACTCCTTCAACATAAACATTAGGCTTTTGAAACCAAGATGTGGTTAAAATGCCAGAACTCTATACTCCCCAACACCTGTATCTCATTCAGTTTGGAAATCTGCTTTTACATTAGCAGCAGCTCTGGCAAGCAGGAAGTATTTTGCAGCAGGGTTTCTGAGTTCCCGTAACAGTTTGATAATGAATTGAGTCCTCTTTGAATTTGCAGATGTTCTAATAAAATGTACCTTAAAAAAAAATATCACAGATGGTGCACCAGGTGAATTTTAGTTTGAGAAACACTGCTCTAAGGGCATTAAAGAGTTTTAGTACCTCCTGATAAGTTGTTTCAAGCTGAATTCTACTGTATAAAGAACCATCAGCACTAAGGCCCTGTTTACAATATGTATTTTGATGCTGTTTTTATATACCTGCTTTCTTGTGTTAAACACAAATGTACAACCACAGAATGTAAGGAAGGCTTTGAAAGTGAAGGGTACAACTTAAAAGTCCAGTGACTTTCTCTGAAAATTAAGACAACAGAACAGTACAAAGCTCTTGTAATTTAGAAGGCAGCATTATTTTTAACTAACTGGAATAGTTAGTTAGGTGAAGGGGCTCTTCCTAATTTTGAGTCCAGCCACCAATATTATCATCGGAACAAATGTTTGAATTTTGTCAAAAAAAATTAACTCAATTCCACCTAGAGTGACTTGCTAGCAATACAATCTGCTGGTCCAATTCATGCATTCAAAGTATCCATATCACTTAAAAAGGTGGCCAGACCCTTTTTCTACAAAATCCTTTACCCCGTTATTAAGCCTGCCAGGAAATAAGTACAGGCAG